GGAGAGAAACACAACTTTGGTTTAGTGCAGTGAAGACAAAGGCCGAATAGGAAAGAAGAAATTCAATTTTGGTTGGTCTCTTTGGTGTTTGACTGATTAGTCCACAGTCTGCATTTTCACCTGCTGTCTGCATCCCCACACTCCACCAAAAGGACAAATCCCAGCTCTCCAAACCGTGCAGGCAGGAAGGTGCAGCCCCTCGGATGGAAGCGGCTCCTCGGGGGGTGGCGTTAGCACCAGCAGCTCAGCTCTGCCGCTCCTTGGCGGAAGCTGTCCCCGCGGCAGCAGCATGCCAGCAATCAGGTCTGGGCCTCGGCCCTCGCACACCTGAAAGCTGCAGCCTTGGTCGGGTGTTTCCCCGAACGTGGTAGATTGCATTGGTCTCAAAAATATATTTTGACACGGATCAGGCATCCCTCAGGAATTGCTATGGTTTTGGGGAGGGGGGACAAAAGAGCAATGTCACCGGAGGTCACAGCGACTGGGCTGGTTATCTGCTTGTGGCAGATGAGGCTCTCCCAGTCTCTCGTAGCCTTTGGTTAGCTAGCAAAGCCAAGAGAGGAGAGTCCTTCATAAATCCCTATTTTCAGGCTTTCAAGTAAACCACCCCTTTCACTGAGAAGAAAAATAAATAGCTAGCAGAACACCCAGAACACAGTAGCGTAAATGTTTCAGTTTTGCATCGGGAGACGGTCAAGTACTGAAGTAACATGTACCGAAGTTTTGACTTTTATTTTTAGATACTTCTATAAAGATGATCTGCCTGTTCCCAGAGCCTGAAGGCCTGCAGCTTGGCTTGGAAACAGAGGAGAGAAGGTGCCCTCTTTCCCGGAGAAGACGCTCTCATGACAAGGACGCAACTTTGCTAGAATTTGTCACTTTTCCCCTTGAAAATCAGCAGATCTAACTAAAGATATTGCCTTTTCTCTGCAAGTACAGCATATTTAATAAACTGATCTTTGCTCTGCCACTTCCATTGATGATCTCCACTCAAATGTGTTGACTAGGAGAGCAGCACATATTCCCCCAAGCTTCGTTATGGGCTGTCTCCTGCTTCTGGTGATGCTGCCAGCTCTCTGGTCAATGCAGAGCCTCCCCAGGGGACGGACCCAAACTCCTAACACTCTTGAGAATTAATTTAGAAATTAATTGAGAAAACTTAGTAAATATCAAAGCAAACCGAGGTTTCTGTGCCACCCTTTATAAATGAACAGCTTTACCACCAGAACGCCTTTGCCTTCTGCAGATAATTATTCCCAGGGAAACGGTCTACAGGGTAGCCCCAACAGCGTACGAACGGTCGCTATTTACGTGACAGTGCTCACTCTTCAAAGCTCAAGTGAACTGGCATAGAGCAGCCTCTGTGCACAAACACAGTAAAGTGTAAAGCATGACGGGTTCATCTGCTACGCTGCCGCGAAGAAACCACAGCGCATCCCCGCCATGCTGGGTGAACGCAGCGAAAAAACAACAGTGCCACATAAATGAGGCACAAATAAGAAATGACTTGACATATGTGGCTCTGCCTATCTCTGCAGAGATTCAGGAGCATGGCATGAGACAACGGAGCTCCTTGTTTCTTTTTGTTGCTGTTGCTGCTGGTGTCAATGAGACCTTTAACCCAAAGAAATAAAGATCTTCCACCTGGCCTTTTCCCACAGGCCTCCCCTCTCTGGGACTCGCAGATGCGACCCTTGTTCGCGTGTGGCCCTGGCTACAGACCTCAAACCCTCTGGCTTGCTGGAGTTCTTTTAGGGAGAAGCCTGCAACGCACTTAAATCCCCACTTTTGAGAAAACGAGTTCCCCCTGAATGCTAAAGGTGAGATCCACAAACCCTGAAGCACTAGAGCCTTCTCAAAATATTGGCAACAAGCTGAGAACTTTGTCTTAGTTTGTCATTTATTTTGTATTCCAAGTCAATGAATGTTGGGTTCTGGTAGGCAGGTCTCCCTACAAAGTGGGAGTACCATCATGCCAACAGGCTCCATAACCAAGGATCCAGAAAAACAACTTTCCCATGCAACTTGCACCACTGAACCCAAAGCTAGCCAGGGAAAAGTAGGACACTAAATATAGGTGTCTACAGCAGCAAAGCAAAACCGCAGCTTTCAGTAGTTTTCTCTTGCTTGCGCTCACTCGCTCTCTCTCCAAGTTAAGTTGTGCTTTGGTTCCCTAAGATAAATGTCGGATACCTAGTTGTGCTAGGCTTCTCTATTTATATGACTGAAATTGCCAGGTTTGCTTCTCACCCTTTCTGTCTAAATTTTGAGTGTGCAAACTGCATTGCTCTTTTTATGTTTCTTTTCAAACAAGACTGCTGAAATGAGCCCCATCAAACTAAAGAGAAAAGGTATGTAACAGTGAACTCCATATAAAGTAGTAATTCTGAGAATGCTACTAAATTAAGTTTGATGAAGAGGAAACGATGTTAATTCATTGGCCAAACATCTGCCTAGGATTTTATTCTATTTCAAAAGAGATTGTATTATTAGTGTAAATTCTGCTCTTTCTAAGGAGCCTACCACTATATTCTGTACACTGCTATATTTAAGTATAGACTTATATAGAATAGTTAGTTTTTCCACACAGTCCAGAAAGTACTGATAGAAAATGAGCACACTTCTATTTTGAAGTCAGCAGATTTTCCCTTTAGTTCATGTGTTTTCCCTGCTTGACAAGCTGTTTAGTTATCATAGCTGTAAAAGTGTACTTAAGCAAGCACATTCCTAGTCAGCAAGACTAACATTTCAAAACTTATTCCTATCTCTAGAAGAAAATAGATGGCGTACACATTTCAGCTTAGACTCCCTTCAAGTATCTTTGGCAGTGAGCCTTGCTTCTGTACTGTACATAAATTGTGGTACGATCAGCAAAAGGCAAAGTGTTTTAAGGCTGCCACAGTGTTTGGCAATAACATTTAACAATACAGGATACAGCAACACTAAGGAAAAAACATGCTTGAGCGCTGCGCAGTTCTCTTGAATCAGCCCAGGTACGTGGCCAACGCTGGACCGCACACAACCGTGCAGCACATTTGCCTCCACCTCACCCACAGGCGTGATGTGAGAATCACCTCACCCAGCTCTGCACACCTACCATGGCAGTGCCTGCCCCTGAGCACACCACCCTCGGCTCCTTTTACGCTCAGTGGAGAAATAAGACACCTCAGGGCATGTTTCATCTAACCTCTATTAGGCATTTATTTCAGGATAAGATAAAACGCCCCTGTTTCTCCCCAGTGACTATAAAAGCTAACTTTCACAGCAAAGACTGGCCACGCTAGCTCGGACGAATCCCATCTGCTAAGTCCCCTGCAGAAGATGCCATGTGTCTGACCGCCCTCTGCTCCTCACTCCTGCAGCAGCTGCCGCAGGTCCCAGGTGCCAGCAGCGCAGGGTGCCAGCAGCGCCTGCCAGCCCAGCGCAGACAAAGCCATCGCTCTGCTCTGGTCCACAGACCTGAGCAGTGGTACCGTGGGGACGAAAGCAGCCCCCAGTAAGCGCACTGCCGGGTCTGACCACACATCAGTGCAGTGGTGTTAAACTGGTGCCCTAAGTTTTAGTCTCTGGCACGCAGCCCAAACTCCGCACGCTCTCGACATTGCTTCATTCCCTGCAGGGGGAAGCAACTACAGTTTTTGCTGCAAAGCATGGGTGGTTTCCCTCTGGAAATGGCTGCAGAAAGACCTGGCCAGGGGAGAGCAGACTGTCATCCTGTAGAGGCCACCTAGGTCTCTAGTCTCAAGGGAAGGGGATGACAATCATAGCCAGCCCAGGACGAACCCAAAGCCTCCAGGGCAGCCAGGAGGTCGTCCCAAGAGAGTCAGGCACCTCTTCACCTGCCATCCTGCCCCAGCTCCCCAGTTCCTCTCCGGTCTTAGCACACACTGGCAACACATTTTCCTGCCCATGTTCCCTAGTAAACCCAAATATCTGGAGCCGACACTCCCATACGGAGCCCTTGGTTGGACCAATGAGTACTGTGTTAGTTCCACCTAAACCTCCTTCATCTGTATAACTTCCAAGTACTTGTGGGATAGGATGCCCTTCTTCCTTTAGGTCCTGATACTACAAACATTTATGCAAGTGCCTAGCTTTGCTACCCAGAACAGTCTCCTTGGCTCTAACAGAATTACTCATGCTGATCAGATTAAGCATGTGTTATATGCTTGCAGATTTGCAGTCTAAATCCCACAAAACCTTGGCTGATCTGGAGATCCTAGATATTTCCTTTACACCTGCCAGTCCACATGGACCTATCAGCACATTCACTGCTCTTTTCCTGCACTCCTTCCAGTGTGCCTGCACGCTGCAGTAAGAGTAAGTTACAGCCACATGTCACCCAGTACATCATTACCAGAAAGAGACAAGCAAGAGAAGAAAATTCCCTCTTCTTCCCATTTACGGAAGGAAGAAAACCACATATAACCCTCGGTACGCGTGTAAGTCACATCACAATTGGTAGTAAAAGGAAGAATCAATACAGAAGTCACTTGCTTTAAGCTACAACCCCCACTCTGCAAGTATGAATAAAGAGTGGTAATTCTGTGAACGTTCAGTAATTGTGCCTGATTCATTAATCCTCCACGAATACAATTCCTGAGTAGGTTTGTGACATTTATTGGTCTCCCTTTTTCCTCTAGGCCCTCATGAACACAGCAGGATTTCTTTCCTTTTGGGGGAATGAACATTAATACCCAAGTCAGCAGTTTGCTATTTGAGTGTTAAAAAACCAAAGATGCTGTTTCCCATAGAATGGCATGTTTTAAGCACAAGTTTCCCCAAAGCTTTATATTTTTACTTCAAGCGACAAAGATACCTTTTCTCTTTTTATAGTATTTTTTATCAATAGTCAGAATTGTCTTGTAAAGTTCTACCCTAAAGCATATATGCTAAACCACATCACCACATGTATATATATATTTCAAACAGAGCCAACAGACAGCTGCTAGATGGATGCATAAATACTTCTGCCTATGCAAATGGAGATGATTACTTACCTTAAGTGTTGGTTAAAATAGCATGTAAATGGTTGTGAACCCACTTTCTCTTTCCAGTATTTCTGCTTGTACGTGACGTTCTCAGAGTTCTCCTGATCGTCTCTTGCACAGGGAGGAATGTACGAACACTGTCAAAACATGTTGCAAAACAGTTACTTCTATGCTCAGGAACACAAGGGCATTACTTTCTCTGGGTTTTCCTCATAATATTAATATTATTAAAATGGGCAAAGAATAATTAGTACAAGCTTCAAAGAAACGAAGAACAAAAATTTAGCTGAACTGTCCTTGAATTCTTAATTACTGCTTACATGTACTGGAAAAGAATCCATGAGCATTCAGAAACAAAATAAAGGTTTTATCCATGTTTTGTTCCCTTATCAAACCAACTTGCCACTTAACAGCCTGTTGTTTTGCAAGACGAATGCAAAAATGATACTTTAATTTTGATGTATTTCTGGCAAGCCGCATGGATTGGATTTGAGCTACTTCCTATTTTCAGTAAGGCAAGCAAACAAAAGTTTTGTTTAGGACTATACTAATAAATAATCAAAATATTGCAGCAAAATCTCCTGCACGTTGATATCTGTTGGCAAAAGATGCGTATTCCAATTTTACAGCATGTGGAAACAAGCACAGAAAGTTAAAACCCCATTTCAGCAAAAAGGTTCAGCACCTGCTTCGACTGTATGGAAGTCAATAAGGTTTGGGCATGCAGTTCAGCTGTTTGCAGATCCCAGCATCAAACATCTACTTCAAAGTCCAAAGAGATCAAGAGAAGTTCTCCCACTGACTCAGTACATTTCAGATTGGACTTGTACACACACTCAGCTCTACGTCGCGGAGAACCCACATTTCTTCTTTCTGAGTCTCATCTTTAATGCATCACCCTTCCCTTCTAGCCATTGGGAATTTAAAAAATAAAAGATCAATACTCAGCTAAATCCAATACTGGAAATATCTCAGTGTCCAAGCACAATTCCTCCTATTGCTATTAGGCATCTGTAGGAGATGATCATTAAAGAAGATGTTGTTAATCCAAACTGAGTAATACTGCTTAACTTATCCTCAGATAATGTAACGGCTTTTCATCCTGGTAGGGGCATGGACAGCAAAGGTCAAAATGCACACATACTGACGTGTAATTTCTTTAAAATAGGGAGCTGTAAGCACAAAATAAGTGACTGGGAAGGTAGCTACACACCGAACCAAGCTGTATGGAGCTAGAAGTCAATCTCCAGCATAAAACAGCTTGAATCTCTGCCAAACCAGGGGGATAGGCGAAATCTCAGGATTTTATTGGCCTGATCATGTAAAACCTGACCACTTCTGTCAGCACTTACAAACACTGCCAGTAACTTCCATGCTTCGAACTGGGAACAATCTGCAAATTCTCGCTTGTTGCTGCCAAGCAGAAACTTGCCTTTTTTTCCACAGATAAGTGCCCCCATTTTCACATGAGCCCACATCTGGTGCGGCTACGGCACAGAGCTGCCTTTAGATCCCAGCTTAGATAAGCCTAAACAAGGATTCCTCTACTGCTGACAACTAAAAACGCAAAGAAGCAGCAACACCACTCTTCCAAAAACAGAACTCAGGATTTTTCACACGCTGTTATTTTCATTTTACGTAATTTTCCATGGCCTGCAATGTTCTGGTGTTGATAGCATAGCTCGGAAGCATCAACCACATTCCTTTTCTTCCTCCACCCCCCCAACACATGAGCGTATCTGTTCAGCAGCTGGATAAAGTTAGCAGACTTGGCATATAAACACCTGAGGGCAATCCTGGCTCTGCTCTGTTCCCCCTGGCGGCCACCAACTCGCCACGTCATCCTGTTAGAGGTGGGAGCTCCTGCGGAGCTCTTCTCCTCTGAAGAGCTGCTTCTTTGTGGCTGAGCCTACACCGTCTTCTGCTATGAAAGCGTGATCTATCTACCATTCCTATACTGGCCAAACTTTCTGTGGACCCTTCGGAGTCCTCCTCAAATATCGCATGAATCCTTCACAAAGCTCACGACCTTTTACTTTTACTTCAGTAGGAAGGTATTCAGAACAGAGTCTGTCAGGGCAAGAATTCTGCTTGATCTGGAAGATCTGAAGGGGCCCACAGACAGCTTCCCCAATTACCACTTCCCTCTCTCCCCATGTCAAAGGAAGACAGTGTAAGGAAGTACCTTCAGTACCTAAGGGGCCTACATCTGGAAGCTGAGTACAACAGCGAATATGCTCTTTGTAACTCATCCTTCACACGAGGATTTACACAAGTAATTCCAAAAACAGCTGATGAAAAACACATTGGATTCATCTTCATCTCTTCTCTCTTTATCTTCATGTGAAAAATACAAACAAGAAAGATGTCCAGGGCTTGCCATACATCACTGAGACCTCACTACTTGCAACTGTTGAGGCTTGGCATACCTGCAGAGAAGAGTCGTCCCTGCCTGAGAGGAAATCGTCGTATGAAACTCGTGGGTCACCCTGAAACCCTAGCATATGTCCTCATCCTGACGAGGGCCATGACGCCACCCTTGAGGCCACCCTAGGTCCAGCTCTAACCTGGATTTATCACCTGCTGCACGGAGACATGAGCAGCAAGCCTGTTTACCTCCCTGGGATGCCAGTATGGTTCCCACGAACCCGATGCTCATGTTGAGTCCTTGTGATTCACGTAGGTGGTAGAGCTTTCTTTTCTTAACTTCCCAAGCATATTTCTTGGGCACTTGGTTTGATCAGCTATATCGCTTTCTAAAGCACAGTCAGCATGTGGATAAAAGGAAATCATAACCTTGCAACTTTTACTGACATGAGTTGGGTGGATGACCTCCTGCTTTGGCAACGGGCAATTTCTGAAAGGCTAATTCCACAGTACACTGCATGAAATCCTACCATCAAAAAATAAATAAATGCCAAGTGCTAGAAAGCAAGCTAGGATGCTCTGTGTTCATTTGTAACTCAAGTAGGAACATCCATTTTTAATGGAAGTGTCCCAGCCTATGCTTTTCTTAACAAGATAGAATGAAGTTGAAGAATAGCACTTAAGATTAGACATTTAGAAAAAAATCTAATGGAGTGGAGATTTTTGCAGCAGCTCCACCGGTACAAGGTTCTGTAATCATACATCCTATACTATATCACAGTGATGATAAAATTGTTATGCAATTCAACTACAGTCTCAATTACACAGCTCAAAATCAGCATCAAGCTAATAATATTCCTCCTTCAATCAAAGCCACTCTTTTGACAGATGACTCAGGCTTCAATTCAGTAAAAATGTCAGAGAGCAGATCATACACCTTAACAGAAAGGGTTTTTTAAGACTTGCACCTGGCACGTGTCTGCTGACACTTCAGTGTCTCTGCTGATGCCTCAAAAAATTCCTGGTGATTTTGAACATTTCATCAGAGCCCACCAGAGCCCACCTCTTTTCCTGAGTGCACGATGCAGTATCCTCAGCTCCGATTTCCGAAAACGCTGATGGCCCGAAGCTGGGGTGACTCTCTGGGGCAGCTGCTGGTGCTCAGCAGCTCTCGCGGCAGACCAAACCCAGCCCCGCGCGCCAACTCACTAAGAGGAGGAGAACAAAACACCACCCTCTCCCATTTCAGCCTCTCCCTCTTCAAGGCAGGATAATTGTTACCCTCTGTTTAACTTAGCTTGTTTAAAGATGCTCTAGGCAGGTATCTTCATAAAAGTACAAAGCACCACTAGCACTAACAATTTTCAATTCCAAACCTCCAGGCGGTTTACCAACTTCCCTTAACTCTGTGCAAGAGCATCTGCAAACGTTACTGTGTTATCTTTGAGGCCCGGGAAAGCGCCACCTCCACCACCTCCCTGGCCAGGAGCAGAGGCGGGGGGGGCAGGGACCCTGGGACCCAAACTCACCCCAGCTGCACTCGCTGCAAAAAGGGACACAGGGAAACTACAGCGATGAAACCTGGGATTCTTCTCACCTGACTTGGGGGCAACCAGAACACGTGGACAAGACATCGTATAATAAGCAGTCGGAATCACTAACTGCGAACGAAGAAAAAATGTACTATGTATTTATAAACAACTCCACACATTAAAACACGTGCTGATGTCAGGATAGTGCTAGCACTGTTGAATGCTGTCAGGTTATGCTCTTCTGAGTACTTTGGAGATTGCCAGAAAACTTGTGCGAAAGCACCAGAATAACACAAGATCTTAGAAAAAAAAGGGAAAGTTTTCTGATAATCCGAGTAAGAGGTTTGTTGGAATTAGCCCTGTAACTGAGAATAGCTTTAAAACAAGCTAGTGCAGCAACTTCTGTTGTAATCCTGGTGGTCTGGCGCTAAGGAAAGGCACAAAGCCAGCAGAACAAAAACAAGCAGCGATTCTTTCCAGCCAGCATTCATTTTTTCAATTTTCTGCTTCCTTGACAGACCAGATGAACAGATTGCACTCATGCAGATATCTAAGACGGTCTGATAAAAGTTGTTAGCTCTCCCCATAAATCCTGCTTCTCACTATCTCTCAATCTCTCCAAAGCATCACGTGCAAGTTAAACTCCCTGTAGTATACGACTCCTAACCTTTGGTGTGAAGATACTGGAGTAGGCATGCCACACAGTTAATTCTCTAAGTCAAGTAGGGGAAAAGAAAGATGTCCAAGTTTCTGCTAATCCCTGTTGGCTCCCGCTAGTCAATAGAGGAACCCCCCCGCCGCCACCCCTGCAGACTGTACCAAGGGAGCTGAAGCTGATGGCCACCTCCAATTTTTCCACACCTACGTTAATACAGACAAACCCCCATGAAGTGACTGAGTCTACAGTTTCTCGCAGTGGCTCAAGGGCAGTGAGGATTTACCAGCAGCAGCACAGTGTGTCGTGGACGCCAGCCCAAACACAGATCGGACGCTTCACTAGTCACCGGACCTCCCTTCCCAAACTACTGGTGATCGTGGCATAATTTGGTCTTAAATTTACTCTGTCACAGCTCATCTTTGAGAGGCTCAAAAATTAAAAAACAATTCCATTCCAAGCGCACAGTAGAGAGAGGTCATGGAGGAATCAGCAATTTGGTGTGGCATCTGAAAAATGGGTAACGTGACATGGGACCGCGAGCTGACGCAGCATACAGGAACAAGCGCTTGCTAGCTGCTCTGCAGCCCGCCCTCTGCCCTCTGTGCAGCAGGATTTCTGGAGGGCAGGGAGAAAAGCCACAAAAAATGGTTGCCATCATGTAATTAGGCATTTAAGGACACAAACAGGGCTGAATGAATTAGATTTGCCGGCATTTAAGGACACCCATCTGGCCCAAACAGGGCTGAATGAATTAGATTTGCAGAGGCCATTTTTTTAAACTCTGGAATTTCCTGTTGAAACATTCGATCTGCACAACCTTCACGCCCACGGCGGGACCCTTCCGGCCCCGTATCACAGCACACGATCGCTGTGCACTTCCACGTCGTCCCGCCCCGGGCTTGGGCTGGGGACGTGCCTTCCCTCCACCCCAACTGGGGCCCCGGGTTCAGCTCATCCATTCGAAACCAACCCCGCTTTGGAGGACTGCGCACGCTGGCAGCATAATTAGTGAGCTGGTCCAAGGGCTCCTGAGCTGCTCCGTCTGCCCGTTCGACGGCCGGGACGCGACTTCACCTCTTTCCTCTGCTATTCCCCTGCCAGCCCCGGGGCTGCAAAGAAGTGAGTCGCACCACACACGTGGTGACGTCCGACGTAACTACACTTCTACAACTACACTTTTACGTTCATGTAGAAGTTTTCCCAGCTAAGTCTTGGGCAAGTTTTTCTGGCACTATGCTCAACTTCAAGCACAGAAAGGGAAAAGCCTAAAAGCAAGAAGGCAGATATTATTAGCAGCTGATACATGCCACAGTAATGTTACTCAACTAAACCTATATTCCAGCCCCCTGTGCTGTGTTTGTTATCAACTCACTGCGTGGCCAGGCGAGCCTGACAAATTGACTTTGGAATTAATCCCCCTTAAACCTTATCTCAGAGATTACTATTGCTATCAAAGCAGCTGAAGAAAGGCTACCATCGCTCTATTTACTGAAATTTCTTCCTCGGAGACAACAACGAAAAGCAAAAAGAAATCCACATATCGCACAGACCGTACACAAATGTAATTGTGCACGGTGCTTCGTACTTACTTTTCTGGATTAATTCTGCCCCAGCTATATAATCTTTTAAGAGCTAAAATGAATCCAGGGCTGTACAATGATGTGATTATCTTAGGAAGGAACAGAAGAAAAAAAAAAAGCGTCCTACAGATAGACCTCAGTAGCGTAGACCGATCCGTAGCTGCAGATACCTTCATACACAAGCCCACTCTGCTACAGAGAGCAGACTGTTTTCAGTCCGACACACTGGGGATCCTCTTGGTGGAGTGAAGCTGCCAACCAATTTAGTATGGTTGTATGGTGTAACGAGCCCAAAACACGCGTTCCTCACACTGCTGATTTAC